TTAATTTTGATGTTTCTTCCTGTTGAAGTTGTATAGTGACATCTCGTTGGAGGAGATGATATTCTGCCAGCTCTACTTTCAGACCAAGGATGGTCTCCCAATGAAACTGTTGAATTTATCTGGACAGTAACATGCTGGACTCTGTATGGTCCATGCCTGCAATGAAGGAATCCTGACTGGATATGATCTGTAATACTGTAACAATATGGAGGAATTCAATATGGGGGGGAGGGCTTTAGAAGGGGCTGGGGGAATCCCAGAGCCTGTGAAACTGTGTCATAAAATTATATTAAAACAAACAAAGATTTATTTTGGGACCCAGCTTGATAGCCTAGCAGCTAAAATCCTCACCTTGAATGCGTTGGGATCCCATATGGATGCTGGTTCTAATCCCAGCAGCCCCACTCCCCATCCAGTTCCTTGCTTGTGACCCTGGGAAAGCAGTTGAGGACAGCCCAAAGCCTTCAGGACCCTCCACCCACATGGGAGACTCAGAAGAAGCTCCTGGCTCCTGGCTTCGAATTGGCTCAACTCCAGCTGTTGTGGCTGCTTGGGGAGTGAATCGTCGGACGGAAGATGTTCCTCTCTTTCCTCCTCTCCATATATCTGACTTTGCAATAAAAATAAATAAGTATTAAGAGACCACAATGACTGGAGCTGTGCTGATCCAAAGCCATGAGCCAGGAACCTCCTCCAGGTCTCCCATGTGGGTGCAGGGTCCTAAGGCATTGGGCCATCCTCGACTGCTTTCTCAGGCCACAAGCAGAGAGCTGGATGGGAAGTAGAGCTGCTGGGATTAGAACTGGCGCCCGTATGGGACCCCGGCATGTTCAAGGTGAGAACTTTAGTCCCTAGGCCACTGCGCCAGGCCTAAATAAATCTTTACAAAAAAAAAAAAAGATTTCTTATTGGAAAGGCAGGCAGATGTACAGAAAGAAGGAGACATGGAGAGGAAGATCTTCCATCTGTTGGTTCACTCCCCAGGTGAGCCCAAAGCAAGGAAGCAGGAGCTTCTTCCAGGTCTCCCACACGGGTGCAGAGTCCCAAGGTTTTGGGCCATTCTCTACTGCTTTCCCAGGCCACAAGCAGGGAGCTTTGGTGAGAAGTGGGGCAACCCGGAATGCGAATTAGTGCCCATATGGGATCCCAGTGCTTGGAAGTTGAGGTTTAGCTAGTTGAGCCAGCGTACTGGCCGTTCTGGATGTAATTTGTAATTGTGTATTTCCACAAGATTTCTGAAGCCGCCTGTATCTGCTGTGACCACGTTGCTCACTGGTTAGAAGCCAGTCCCTGGTGCGGGTGTGAAGTCCCGGCTGCTTCCAGCACCACAGACGGCAGCCCCACCCACCTGGTCACTCGCATGGCCATATGTTTGGGGACATAGTGTGGTCACCTCCTTCCTTCATTCCTGCCCCCCCTTCATTGAGCTCATTTCTGGCGCATCTGGGTCCTCCCTCCCCCAGACCTCCCACCTTGGCCTGGTCTGCTGACCCCTCCTTCCCCTGTCCCCTTCCCCATCTGCTCTCTGCCAGAAGCCAGCTGTGTGGGTAGTAGGTGGTGCCCAGCACGAGGCCAAGAGGCAGGAGATGATGAGCCAGGGGGAGTGGGGAAGGAGACTGGGACAGAGGCCTTGTTTGCGAGAGGCTCCATATGCATAGAGGACCATGTGCATGGAGCAGCTGCCATCATAACTGGATGGATGGGAGAGGGACAGGCAGATATGGGTGGACAAACAGATGTGGATGAACGATGAACAAGTGACGAGTGGGGTGATTGGGCATGGATGGATGATGGAGGGAGGGAGGGAAGTACAGGGATGTGTGGACATGGGTGTGGATGGAGATGACGGATGGAGGACAGCTGAGCCCCACACAGCCCATCGAAAGCCGCACTCCATGATGTGGCAGGTGTGGGAGGTGAAGGCTCTGCAAGATGCCTGAGCCTTCCCTGTCCTCTCCCTGCAGCCTCAAAACGGAGGATCCCAGTGTCCCAGCCCGGCATGACCGACCCCCACCAGCTCTTTGATGACACGAGCTCGGCCCAGAGTCGGGGGTATGGGCCCCAGCGGGTCCCCAGCAGCCTGGGCTACCCGGCAGCGGCTGCTTCCCCGCAGGCTGCCTTTCTGACTGACCCCATGTCCAACATGGCCATGGCCTACGGAAGCAGCCTGGCCGCTCAGGGCAAGGAGCTGGTGGACAAGAATGTGAGTGGGCCGGGGTAGGGGCAGGGACGGGAGGTGCTGGCAGGCCCGGGAGGAGACGCCCCAGCCCCGCTCCCCGGCGTCTCCCTCAGGCCTGAGCGCTCCCCCCCCAGATCGACCGCTTCATCCCCATCACCAAGCTCAAGTATTACTTTGCCGTGGACACCGTGTACGTGGGCAAGAAGCTGGGCCTGCTCGTCTTCCCCTACCTGCACCAGGTCAGCACCGCTCGCGCTGAGGGGGTCAGAGCCTGGGCCCGCAGGTGGGGGGAGGAGCCCCACTGGGGGTCCTGGCTGCTGCCCCCCAACTCTGCCCACAGGACTGGGAGGTGCAGTACCAGCAGGACACGCCCGTGGCCCCTCGCTTCGACATCAACGCTCCAGACCTCTACATTCCAGGTCTCCCCTCCTGACCACCTCCCGCATCCTACTTCCTGGGGAGAGTGGCGAGTTGGGGGGCAAAGAAACTGGGTACCTGGAGCCCAGGGTGGCGCCCTCAGCTTGTGTGTGTGTGTGTGTGTGTGTGTGTGTCTGTCTGCCCTACAGCCATGGCTTTCATCACCTACATCCTGGTGGCTGGCCTGGCCCTCGGCACCCAGGACAGGTAAGAGAGGTGGGGGCGAGGAGAAGGCAGCACGGGGGTCACGGGGGTCACACGGGTCACAGGGGCTGGGACAGCAGCCCCACCTTTCTCCCACTGGCTCAACACAGAGCCCTGCCTTCTCTTCCTCACTGCCCCCTAAGTAGATGCGCCTACCCCTCTACTGGATGCTGGCCTGGCCATGTACCCCCTTCTCTCCCCAAACCCCACTGTCCACTGATGGCCTGTTCTAGCCCCCTGCCCCACTCCCAGTAGCCCACTCGGCGGCCCCTCCTAACCAGGCCAGGCACAGCCTCTGTGCTTCCCCGGGCCCCCCCAGCCCTCCCAGGGTTTGGGCTCAGGTCTGCCAGCCCCACGGCAGCTGCCCAGGGAGGTGAATGACGGCCTGTGGGTACCCCTCAGGTTCTCCCCGGACCTCCTGGGGCTGCAGGCTAGCTCGGCGCTGGCCTGGCTGGCCCTGGAGGTGCTGGCCATCCTGCTCAGTCTCTACCTGCTCACTGTCAACACTGACCTCACCACCATCGACCTGGTGGCCTTCCTGGGCTACAAATATGTCGGGTGAGTGCCCATCCCCTGCCAGCTCTCCCTGGGCCTGCCCTCCCTGGGCCAGCTCTCCCTGGGCCTGCCCTCCCTGGGCCTCCTCTCTCAGCCCAGCCTCCACTCTCCTCAGCATGATTGGCGGCGTCCTCATGGGCCTGCTCTTTGGGAAGATTGGCTACTACCTGGTGCTGGGCTGGTGCTGTGTGTCCATCTTTGTGTTCATGGTAAGCCAGGGCTCAGGTTGGGGGAGGCTGAGGGCATGAGCCCACACCCTCTACAGGCAGGGAGTCCCTGGGGGTACCCGAGCAGAGGACATCCACTGGGACTTTAGACCAGAGCCATGTAACTGAATTTAGGGGCTTGGGATGGCGACTCCAGCCTAGGTGCTCAGGAGGGCTTCCTGAAAGAGGTGTCTAGCCAGGCCCGGGGCTGGGAATGCCCAGCAGGCTGTGAACTGGATTCTGCCCTCACTCTACTCTCCTCACTTGGAGGGCCTTCCTGCCAACCCTCCCCCCAAGGGATTGTGAGTCTTTGCAGCTTGAGACTGGGTACTGGTTAAGTAATGGGGTTCATCAGGCCTGGGCCAACCCCCAGCATCACCAAAACCTCGGGCAGATTGCTTCCTTGCTTTAAACTTCCGTTTCTGCATTTGTACAGCAAACATACCCATAAGCTTTAATTTTGGTGTCCCCATTTTAAAGTTGTAAAGTTCATTCAGTCTAGTACTTCGGGCTTGTCTTGAAAGATCGTCCCCTGGCCAGCCTTAACCCCTGCCTCAGGTGGGGGCCACAGGCTCCCAGGGCACCAGTGGGCCCTCACCCCTGTGGGGTGGACTTTGGGGAGCCAAGCCCCTCCAACCCAGCAGGAGATGCTTGAGACTGTGGAGGGACAGGGACTTGTGTGGCGTTGCCTGCATAGCACCAGGCACTCCCAAAGGCTCATGAAAAAGAGAATAAAAAGGCTACAGAAATTTTGGTGCAGAAAAAGCCAAATTTGAAATCCATGCCTCTGTGAGGTCCTCCAAAAAGCTCACAGAAGATGACTATTAACGGAAAAACTACGCATGGTTTTCAAACAATCTCTTCCACCAACATCACCTTTGAATTGCCGGTTCTCAGGTGCTTTGCCCCCCACACCCCGCCTTGACCCCAGCTCCCTCCTCCCTACCCAGATCCGGACGCTGCGGTTGAAGATCCTGGCCGAGGCAGCGGCCGAAGGGGTGCCGGTGCGCGGGGCGCGGAACCAGCTGCGCATGTACCTGACCATGGCCGTGGCGGCGGCACAGCCTCTCCTCATGTACTGGCTCACCTTCCACCTGGTGCGGTGAGGGTGCTGAGCGAAACCTCGTCCTCTGCTGCCGCCGCCGCCGCCGGTGCGTGTGCACGCGTGCGGCTGCCACTGTCATCTCCGCCCCGGCTCCGGACCGTCCCGGCCCGCGAGCCTCCCCACTCCCCCACCAAGGTGCTGAGAGATGTCCCGCTGCACAGGCCGCGTGTCCAGAGCGCGGCCGCTGCTCCCCAACAATAAACCCGATGGGCAAAGGGCTGGTCTCCTTGGCTGCGGCGCGGAGGGCGCAGGGCCCAGGACGCCCGGCAGGGGGCGGGCCCGGGCCGGACACGGAGGGCGCACAGGCGGAAGCGGAAAGCAGGGAAAGGTTTTTAATGAACCGGGCTGGGACCCATCAGTGGGAGGGCTTCTTGCTCTTATCCTTGTTTTTCTTCACCTTGGGCTTCTTGACCTTGCCCGAGGTGCCATCGTGTGGCTTTGGCTTGGAGCCAGCAGCGTGATGCTACGGGGATGAGGACAGTGAGTGGGAGATGGTACTGTGCAGGAAGTGGACGTGGGACCCAAACCCCTCCACCCCGCGGTTGGGACTCTGACCTTGGGGACTGGGGCATCGGGGAGCAGTTCCTTACCTTGCCATCCGAGTCTGAGTCGCTGGAACTGCTGCTCGAGTCCGAGGAGCTGCCATGGCCTTGCTGTGTGGAATGCGACATTGAGGCAGAGAGTCCCTTAACCGCTCCCCACCGATGGGCAGGCAGCTTAACGATGCCAGAGCCCTAGGGGGCCAAGGTGAGCCTCTGCACCCCTTGGAGACATGTCAGTTGGGGTGGCTTACCTTTGGATGGTGAGGCGCCCCCGGAGGTTTGGGGTGACCATGCTTCTTGGGGTCCATGGCTGTGGAGAGAGGTTAGGTTGAATGATGCAGGGGACCCCTGGCCCCTTCCGCTCCTGCCCCCCTCCACACTCCCCAGGAGCGCACCTGCTTCTGCGGTGGTATGAGGAGGTCTGGCAAGGTCTGACCGGCAGGCGCAGAAGCAGCGGGGACCTGCCCCGCCCAGGAATACCAGGATGGGGGTGCTGGGGCGCCCCACCCGACCTTTGTCCTGGGCCATTAGCTCTGACTCACTGCCATTCTCCGGCCCCACCCAGCCCTTCCCCTGTGGGGAATGGGGAAGGTGGGCAGCGGGCAGCCTCTGGGGCTGGCCTTGAGCGGCAGGAGGGGCTCTCTGGGGGTGTGGGGATGGGAGGTTTGGGGCTGTGTGCTCCTTCAGGACACTTCTCCGCTGATGGCACCAGTGGCTCCCTCACACCAGACCCTGTTGCAAGGTCATTTGTTGTCACTCCCCTCTGTGACCTTGAACAGCAGTGTCTAAAGTGAGGGACACGGATTTGGAGCCAGGCTGCTGCATTTCGCCTAGACTTCTGTGTTCTTAAGATTGTTTATTTGAAAGACAATGTGGCAGAAAGATTTTCATCTGCTGGTACTCTAAATGGCCCCAACAGCCAGTGCTGGGCCAGACCTAAGCCAGGGGCTCCCTCTGTCTCCCACAGGGTGGGGGGTGGCAAGAACTCGAGTCTTTGGGTGGCCCTCTCTGCCTCCCACAGGGAGCACCCTGCTGTTTTTCCTACATCACAGCAGGAGGCTGGATCACCAGTGGAGCATCCAGCCCTCTAACTCCTAAGTGATGACTTAGCCCACTTGCTGCCTGCCCTCCCCCTAGATTTAAGGATCAAATGGAGAGATTTCCGGGACTGTGTCTGTCACCGAGTAAATGCTTGTGAAGTGTTGGGTTGTTTCTGTCCTTAAATTAAAAGCTGGTATGTGAGTTGGGGCTGCCGTGCCCAGCTGGCCCCAGAGTGGCTCCTCACCAAGAGCAGAATCGGATGTTTGAAAGGCAGTGAGAGAGGGGGGCGGATGGCAGGAGTGGGAAGAATTCTTACATCTGCTGCTTCTCTCCCGATAGCTGCCAAGCGCTGGGGCTGGCCCAAGGCACGAGCCGGGGGTCTCCCACGTGGGTGTGCGTGGGCCATCTTCCATTGCCTCCCCAGGTGGATCGCAAGTGGAGGAGCTGGGACTCAGCCAGGTGTCTGCCTCCTGCTGTCTCCTGAGAGCCTCCCAAAGCCTTCCCCGAGCTCCCACCTCCCTGTAGCACCCATGACAAGGAGGCTACCAGGGGCTGAATTTGGGGGGACTGGGGAAGACAACATCCAGCCCACATGCAGTTGGTATTGCTGCCACCCCTAGTTTACCTGTCCAAGGTTTATTTCAAAGTCTCAGGAACAGATCTCCTATTTGCTGAGTCATACCCCAAATGGCCCAGTCTGGGCCAGGCTGAAGCTAGGAGCACAGAATTCATCTGGGTCTCCCACCAAGTGGTGGGAACCTAAGTTCTTGGGTCATCGTGTGTGGATTTCCCAGGTGCATCAGCAGGGAGCTGGAGTCTGCAGGGTGGGTGAACAGGCCAAGACAGCTTGGTCCTCGCTGCTCCCATCCCTCCTGCTCCGACCGTATGGGAAGAAGCAGGAGGGTCCTTCCCTGTACACCCTCAGCTTGCGCCACGTGCCTCGTCTGTATTGTGAGTGGGGGAACAGTGTGGCGGGGAGGAAGCCTAAGCTAGAGTGGGTGAGAGTGCTGGGTGTGGTCAGCCTACATGGTCATCACCAGGAAAGAACCCTCTCCCCCTTCTTTGGAGAGGCTCTGTTCCCCGTCACTCAGCTAACGGGCAGAGCCAGCAGCCACCATCTATCCTTCCCCCCACTGGTCTGTGGGTGTGGATGCAAGATAGCACTGCCCTGTTACAGGGCCTTGCCCTGGGATTGAGCGTTTGCCTTCTGCTGCTTTTTCCAGTGAACTGCCGTGGTGCCCTCTCCCCTCTGGGGAAGAGGCCCTTGTGTTCTCCGGTGGCTCAGCAGTCCTCTGGGGGGGCTGGCCCTGTGGCTAGCACTCCACCTGCTGGCCACTCCCATCCTTGGGGTCTTACATCATCACTGCCACTTAGGAAGAGGTGGCTATTGGCCTGTGCATCGGAGGACCTCCTGAGTGACTGTAAAGACAGCTGCCGCAAGCTCTGGTTTGCTCACTGGCCTGCAGTTTACGTGAACAGAATGCCCTGGTCTGTAAACACTGTAATCCCCATCCCAGAATGTTTCCTTTGAAATTAACCACATCCTTGGAGCTGACCCTCCCAAGCACACATCACGCAAGAAGTCCCATCTGCTGGGTCATTTCCCCAAACGCCCACATGACTGCGGCTGGGACAGGAACTTGCACTGGGTATCTCCTGTGGGTGGCAGGAGCCTGAACACCTGGCCATGGTCTGCTGCCTTCCTGGGTACATTGGCAGAGTTGGAGTGGAAGCAGAGCTGTCAGGATTGTATCCAGCATTCCCGGATTCCTCAACCTGCTATACCACGCCAGCCCTTCTCAGAACCACCTTGCCGAGCCAGCCTTTGGAAGGTGCCAAGGGGCTGTGGGTGCACCTGGCGAAGCTCAGCTTGGCTCTCACGAGGCTAACCGTGTTTATAGGCTCATGTGTTCGCATGCCGCTGACTCGGAGTGCTGACAGGAGGGTCGTGTGAGCACAGCAAGGCGGGGGCGGATGCTCTCCCCTTCCGGCCAGCAGCATCCGTGTCGGCATCTGGGTGAGCTTCCCTTGTCCCTGGCGACAGAGCATGCCTGTGCATGGGGGGCTGTTACCAAGCAGTGCATTCAGATGGGGGCACTTGCCCCGTTGTGCCAAGGCTGCCCTGTCATAGGAAGGCATCACCCCATCCTCAGGGTGCTCGGTGCTCGCTGGAACCCCAAGGAATGAGCCGGCTAAGAGCAGGCGGGCTACACACACCAGCACACATGGCTCTGGCTTCCAGTTAATTTTCACTTGGGTATGCTGTTCTGAGCACTCGTTATCCATGTCACCAGCAGGCTGGGCCCAAGTTCATGTTCACACAGCATTTAACAGACTCCTATCAACAGGATTCCAAAGGCCATAATTACCCTTGCTCATGTCACGTGGGGGGCTCATGGGCCAGGTGAGTCCAAGGTCAGTCCACCATCCACTAGGACTTAAGGACTGATATGCTGGCCTCTGGTGGCACAGCCAGTCAGCAAAGGCCCAGAAAGTAATAGTCACATCCAGTGGACAGACTACAGCCTAACCCCACACCCCCGTGCCTACCCACCCCCCCATAGCCACACAGCAGGGAGGGAGGGCCGACTGGCAGCATCCTTGCACCCACTTGGGTGGGCCATGAGGGCAGCGCTGGGCCTGGGCTCTGGCCTTGCTGGGAATAGCAGTATCTCGAACAAGGACGTGCCAGCCTGTGAGTTTAGAAACATCAGGGGGCCCAGTGTGATGGCTCAACAGCTAAATCTTCATCTTGCAAGTGCCAACATCCCACACGGATGCTGGCTGGTTCCCCGGCTGCTCCACTTCCCATCCAGCTCCCTGCTTGTGGCCTGGAAAAGCAGGTGTTTGGCCTGTTATGGTGCCTGATTATTTTTTCTTCTTAAGATTGACTTATTTGATAGAGAAGACAGAGATCTTCCATCCACTGGTTTGATCCCCCAAATGGTGACAACTGGGGCTGCACCAGATGGTAGCCAGAAGCCAGGTACTGCAGAGACTCCCACAGGGCTGACCGGGGTTCAGGAACTTGATCCATCTGCCACTGCTTTTCCACGTGCATTAAGCAGGGAGCTGGATCACAGTGGAATAGCAAAGACTGGAACCATGCCAGGGCCATAGGCTGGGGCTTAACACACTATGCCACAGTGCTGGCTTGGTGAAATGCCCAGCAAAGGGAGGTAAAATCTGCTCATCTGCCCTCCACCACGTGGCTTCTGGTGGATTTCCATTAGTGGGCCACCCACTGGCCACTCTGATTGGCCAGGCCAATAGGCGGGGCTCGAAATGCCTTCCGGTGGCTTCAGAGAGAACCTAGCTGCTAGGCTCTGTGCAGCAACAGGCCTGGGACAGGTCACCCAGTGCTGGGAGACAGCGGTGACGAGTTCAGTGGCTGGCTCCCTGGCTTCCACATGGGACCACGTACCTGTAGGAGACCCCGAGGAAGCTCCTGGCTCCCGGCTTCAGATCAGCTCAGCTCCAGTCACTGTAGTCATCTGGGAAGTGAACATCAGATGGAATCTCTCTCTCTCTATCTCGTTGTCTTAATTTGTCTTTCCAATAAATATAAATATTCAACTAGCCATGCCACTTCGAATTCCATGGGGTCTATTTTTAGGAAAGGCCTTCCCCGTCTTGCTGCACCCTCCCTGGCCCCCGCAGTGTGCTGTGGTCATCTTGATAGAGTTTAAATTAATCTCCCAAAACAAGTATGTGTTGAAAGAATTTATTTTCAAACGATGACCTTTTTATTTATACATTTTATTTTCTTTCTTTGATAACCCTAATTTAAAAAAAACCCTCAGCTTTTGCTTACTTAAAAAAACTATGAATCAAACAAATGGAAGAAGCTCTTGAACAGTCACTTCTGTGATGAGAGAAGAGGAGGGATTCAACACAAGCAAAGGCAACGGCCAAGGAGACGCTGCGCCCATGGGCGCCGGCCATGGCCAGGAGGGCCTGCGGCCTTCCTCCCTGGGACACACAGCAAAGCGCACTCACAGCACAACGGCCCACTCTGTTACACAGTCTGCCCAGGCGGCCTCACAGGACCCCCGTGCTCTTCACCAGCTGCTCCTTGTCGTCAGCAGAGTTCCACACGGTGCGGAGGGCGCGCTCCTGCCTCTTGCGCGCCACGCGGATCAGGCAGACCACTGAGGCGCCCAGCAGCAGGATCAGGACCATCACGAGCTGGCCCACCAGGACCACCACTGCGGGTGAGAGGGGACAGGCCAGTGGGGTCAGCGCAGATCCCTGGACTGCGCAGTATGGCTGCTCGTGCACCTTCCCACACAAACCCGCCTCTCTGCTGCCACCTCCAGGACAGCCTGCATAGCAGGGCAGGTACCCAGGCCGGCAGGCACAGCACAAAGTATGTGAGACACGCTTGCCTTGGGGTGAGAGCAGACACAGAATCCCAAAGGCTCTGTGCTCACATACGGTCTGGGCGGTGACAAACAGATGTGACCAGCAGGGCCAGCTGGCTGACTCGGCTGCTGTGGAGGGTGGTGTGCCAGCAGGTGGGAAGCTTTGTGCCCCCAAGGGCAGTCCTCCCTCCTGCCTGTGCCTGGGAAACAGGTTGGGCATCTATAAGAAGGCAGACTGGCAGCCCAAGTCTTGGCTCAAAAACCGGTAAAAAAAAGAGGCCAAACTGGCCTGGCAGGTTCCAATTGTCACCATCCACAGCTCAAAGACAAAAGCTAGAACACAGCCAGCTGCCTTGTTGCTGGCCTGTGGCTCCCAGGGCTCCCTGCTGTCCCCATGTTCAGTTCAGGGCAGCCGCAGGCCTGAGTACAGCAGATGCTGGGGTCCCCAGCACACCCCAACTCTCGGGGGAGGGCCCTGTGCACCTCTGACTCACTCCCAGCACCCACTGTGCACACCATGCGGCAGAACAATCAGCCACCACATGCGGCCAGCTGCCCTGCTAGGCTAGTACAGCTCTTCCCACGGGAAGCTGTCCACAGGGAAGGGCGGTGGGTCCAGGCGCACCTCAGCCTGCAAGGCCACAGTTGGGCAGGGGTAGGAGGACTGGGTCACTTACCTTTACTGCCAGTGGGCAGGGCAGGGTACACCTGCTTGCCTGCAAGAGAACACACAGATGAGAGGTCAGCCTGGGCTCCCCACTGCATGGGCAGCAGAAACCTAGCTGGCCCGGCGGGGCAGGAGAGGGGGAAAGTAGGATTCCCAAGGGAAGGTGTGGGGAGGCCGCTGGCTCACCGAAGCAGCGTCCCATGCACGCCTCCCTGGAGGGGTAGCTGTTCTTGTTGCCACGGCAGCCTCCATAGATGAACTGATTGCAGGAGTTCTTCTCGGCGTCGAAGTACCAGCGTGGGAAGGCTGCGCGGCAGGGCCCGGTAACGGCTTTGGCATTGCAGTATTCTAGAAACAAGAGAGTCCAAGGAGATCAGCAGGGCCCAGGGAGGCGGCCCGCAGCCAGCAGGGTAAACCAGACATGGGAGTGGTCCAGTCCCGCTCTGTCCTGGGACTCCCCTCCTCCCAGAGCCCCAGCCTGAACTGCTGAGGGACATCAGAACACTACGCCATGGCCAAGCTTCGCGATTCAATCCAGGGACTGCTCCAACCCTGCAGGCGCCCTGTACGGCGTTGTGCAGGACCTTACCTTCAAAGTCGAAACCATCCCCAGAAGGCTCGTCCGAGTCCTTTTTGGGCACTGGAACACAAACAAGGCATCATGAGGCTGGGACGGACACAGGACACACAGCCACAAGCGTAGCGAGGGCTGCAAGGGGGCCCAACCCCCCGGGGGGGACTGGGAAAACCAGCCCCACCACAGGCTCCAGTGTGCCAGGTGGGAAGGCCCAGTGCAGTCCGACAAAGAGTTGCTCTGACATACACTGGAGCTGGAGCAAGGTCGGTGCCCCTGTGCCCAGTGAGGGAGCAGACGGGAGTCCAGCACAACAGCACAGGAGGACCATGACAGCCACAGGACTCCCACGAGGCAGAATCCAAGCCAGCCCAGCCACTGAGTGACAAGACTTGCTTGCTGAGGGCTGTGTCAGAGACGACTATCCTCCCCTTGTGGTCACCTCACCAGCCCCACAGGTCCCTGAGCCGGTGACCAGTCTCTGTGGGTGCCGGGCCAGCCCCTCAGCATGTGTACCCTATCTGCAGCGGGATCACTCACCCCAAGCTCCCAAAGCTGAGTCCTTTAAGCATAAAGGAGGAAGGGGGCGGAGGCAGCCAGCACTACAAAGCAAGCTGATACAAGGCGTGGATCAAGGCCTGCAGGACGGAAGGCGAAGAGGCAGGGTGGCTTCTAACCCAGGGAGGGAGACAGCAGGACCACAGGGAGCAGAGGCAGCCGAGCAGGAAGGGAGATAGGGTGCGGGGGCGGGGCAGCACAGTGGGCAGCGGGGCAGCACGGTGGGCAGCGCTGCAGCCCTGTGCTCCTGGGGCAGAGGAGGGCAGATGCAGGGGGCCGAGGCTTTTGCAGCCCCACACTTGGTGTCCCCTCACAGTCACCTCTGCCTGGCTTCAGCCCACCAGCCTGGGTCTTCTCAAGAACCTACCACTTGGGGCAGAAGACTCGGCACCATTCCTCTTGGTGGTTTGCTCATCACTGGAGATTTCTACAAGACAGACAGGCCACTCGGACAAAGCTCCTCTGAGCTGCCGTACCCAGTGAGAAACCCAGATGATGCCTCAGAATGGCCATCCATGTCGCAGCGGGCACTGTGGCCTCTCATGGCAACTCCTGCCTCTCTTTGACATGGGGCCTTCAATGCAAAGTGGGACAGCAGCATGTTCGCCATGCTCGAGAGGAAGAACCTCAAGTCGCCTCTGAGGATCAGACTTCAAGAGCAGCTGGAAGGAGGGGCCTGGTGTATGGCACAGCGTATTAAGCTTCTGCCCACAATGACAGCATTTGCCTAAAGGGCAGGTTCAAATCCAAGCTGCTCCACTTTTGATCCAGCTCCTTGCCAGTAGACTGAGAAAGCAGCAGAGGATGGACCACAATGGGCCCTGTACCCACATGGGAGACCTGGGGGAAGTGCCTGCTTTTGGCCTAGCCTAGTCCCGGCCACTGAAGCCATCTGAGAAGCGAAACAACAGATGGAAAATCTGTTTCTCTCCTTCAAATGCTACCTTTCAAATAAATTAATAAATCTTAAAAAAAAAAAATAGAAGAAAGTCTGAGCAAAGACTGTGCCAGCCCATAAACAAAGAAATCACAAAAAGTTATTTAGGGCTGGGCCCGGCATGGTAGCCTTGAGGCTAGAGTCCTTGCCTTGAATGTGCCAGGATCCCACATGGGCGCCAGTTCTAATCCCAGCAGCTCCATTTCCCACCCAGCTCCCTGTTTGTGGCCTGGGAAAGCAGTGGAGGATGGCCCAATGCCTTGGGACCCTGCACCCGTGTGGGAGACCTGGAGAAAGTTCCTGGCACAGCACTGGCCGCTGCATTCACCTGGGGAGTGAATCATTGGACGGAAGATCTTCCTGTCTCTCCTCCTCTCTGTGTATCTGACTTTGTAATAAAAATAAATGAATCTTTTAAAAAAAAAAAGTTATTTAGGGCCCAGCACAATGGCTCAGTGGCGAAATCCTTGCCTTACACGTGCTACAACCCCATGTGGGCACTGGTTCATATCCTGGCTGCTCCACTTCCCATCCAGCTCCCTGCTTGTGGCTTGGGAAAGCAGTTGAGGATGCCCAAAGCCTTGGGACCCTGCACCCATGTGGGAGACCTGAAGGAAGCTCCTGGCAGGTCCAGGCTTCCGATTGGTTCAGCTCCGGCTGTTGTGGCTACTTGGGGAGTGAATCAGATGAAAGCTCTTTCTTTGTCTCTCCCTCTCTCTGTATATCTGCCTTTCCAATAAAAATATATTAAAAGAAAAAAAAAAAAAGACTTCTAGGTCAAACAATCTAATTGTATCCACTTATCTGAAGAATTCAGAAGCGCAGGGCAGTGGCATAGCGTGCATCCAACCGCCCTGGGCACATACTCCCAGTTTCCTGTTGTGTTTTATCCCTACCCCTGCCTGAGAGGCTGGTGGTGCAGGGAGTCCAGGAGCCCACCTGGGGGCGTCCCGCTAGTCCCAGGAGACCTTGAGCAGGGGCACCTGGTGGCCTAACCTCCTGTGGAACCACCACCTGGCACGCGGGTGCCACTCACAGCCATCTGCTAAGAGGCACAGGCACAGAGACAGGAGCGTTTGGTCCCCAGGGAGGTCTGGCTTTCGTCATAAATTAATAAGCTCCATTCTCACTGCTGTTTGGCTTCCCACAGAGCTCACCTGCCAGTGCATGAAGATGCCAGCCCCAGCCCCAGGGACAGCTGCTCTGGCAGCTAGCAGGAAGTCGCTCTGTAGACCTATGGATAGCCACGGTCAGAGGCGGGCCAATGAGCTCTTGGGGCCCTTCACAGAAGCCACATAGAGCCTGCTTCTGCCAGCAGCATCATGGTGCCTCTCAGAGCCAGGTGGCCCCGCTGTGTGTAGCAGCCCTCTCCGAGCCCACCTGCGCTGCTCTGTGCCCGACAGAAGCACAGAGGAGGTGGCCAAAACCCTCGTCTCACAGTGTATCACAGCCACAGGTGGAAGAACGCAGAATGGCATTGCCAGTGCCCCTGATTCCCCTGACTGTGCTCACACAGCTGCAGCCAGCACCTGGGCAGGAGGTGCCATCTACAGTGTGCCGTGAGCATTGCGTGCAGCCCCGCTGCCATGGCAGCCCCAGCACCAGCAGCAGGCTGGCCTGACAGGACCACAAGGCACACGCTTAGCAGGGACGGAGTCCAGAGGCCCTGGGTGCCCCAGCTTCAACTCTGGGGAATGAAACATCCCTGCCAGAGCTCCCAGCTCCTACCCACCCATGCAGCTGGTAGTGCCGACACCATCTAGATCCCACAGAACCTACTGCTGCTGAGGGCTCAGTCCCAGGCTGTATGTGCCCCTTGGAAGGGGGCTCCTAGCCTGGCTGACTATACTTATTAATTTACTGAGGTGAAAAACCCCAGTGCCCAGGAGGCGAGGCCAGGCCAGGCCATGCCAGGCCAGGCCAGGGGAACCCCTGGCGGAGCTGGTTTCTGCCACAGCCTCAGCTGTGGAGACCAGAACGAGCTAGAGGGAGCCCAGGACTCAGGGCAGCCTGCCCGCTACACATCTCACCTGTGACCCCGGCACACTTCTCCAGGCACTCCTCCTTGCTCAGGTAGTTGTTGTCATTTCCGTCGCAGCCTCCGTACACAAACTGCTGGCAGGTGCCGTCCGTGGCGTTGTACCACCACCGGGGGATGGAGGCCCGGCACCGCCCCACCACCAGCGAGACACGGCAGAAGTCTAAAATAGGCAAAATTGTCAGTGTGACTGATGACCCGGCAGCAAAGGATCCAAATGCAGGAGGCGGCAGCCCTGGACTGCGGAGGTCCCTTCCTCTTGCCGGATGGCAAGCCCACACCCATGGAGATGCCAACCCAGCCTCCCAGCCATGCTGCTGCTTCTGCTCTGTCCCTGTCCGTTCAGTGACCCGGACACAGCCTGCACAGAAGTGTGATGGAAAGGCAGACCCCAGGACCCTGCTGAGTGCTGCTCAGCCCACCTGTCCACTTCACACAGAGATCCCTGCAAGAGCTCCAGAGAAGGTCCCGGCCCCAGCTCCCAGCTTCCCAGCTGGGCCCAGAGGCTGCACCAAAGCCCTGCTAACTGCCACCTCTGCACACCACGGGGCTAGCCTCCCCCTACGCTGTTTAAAAAACATTTATTCTTATTGGAAAGGCAGATTTACAGAGAGGAGACACAGGAAAAGATCTTCCATCCGATGGTTCACTCCCCAAGTGGCCACAACAGCAGGAGCTAAGCCTATCTGAAGTCAGGAGCCTCCTCCAGGTCTCCCCCATGGGTGCAGGGTCTCAAGCCCTTGGGCCATCTTCTACTGCTTTTCCAGGCTACAAGCAGGGGACTGGATGGGAAGTGGAGCAGCTGGGACGTGAACCGGTGCCCATATGGGATCCTGGCACTTCTAGGAGAGGCTTCAGCCACTGAACCATCGTGCCAGGCCCAACCTTCCCTTCATTCTAAAGGAAACAAAAATATTTTAAAATTCCATGGCATATAAGACTAAGTCTCTGTTTGCAACACTGACATTCCATATGGGCACCAGTTTGATGGCCCAAGTTCTTGAACGCCTGCATCCACACGAAAGACAAAGAAGCATCCCCAGGCTTTGGTATGGCCCATCCCTAGCCATTGCAACCAGTGCCCTTACGGGATGCCAGCAGCACAGGGAGTAGCCTAATTCACTATGCTACAGTGTCACTTCCAGGGCTCTTTCTTAAAAAGCTACAAAGGCCCGGTGGTCAAGGGGCCAAAGTCCTCATCTTGAACGCGCCAGGATCCTATATGGTCACCGGTTCTCATCCTGGAGGCCCTACTTCCCATCCAGCTCCCTGCCTGTGGCCTGGGAAAGCAGCAGATATGGTCCAAAGCTTTGGGACCCTGCACCTGTATGGGAGACCCAGAAGAGGCTTTGAATCAGTTCAGCTCCAGCCATTGTGGCCATTTGGGAGTGAGCTATGGAAGGTCTTTTTCTCCACCTCCGTCTCTATAAATCAACCTTTCCAATAAAGATAAATAAATCTTAGAAAAACGGAAAACCTAAGAAACTTTTCACCAAGATGGTGCCCAAGGTAATGGAGGCTCCTGCCCCTCCCAAAGCCAAAGTGGAGGCCCTGGTGGTGCTGACACGTCACCCACCATCGTGCGGCCCAAGACGAAGCGCCTGCGGCAACAGCCCAAATACCCCCCAGAAGAGCGCTCCCAGGAGGTACAAGCTTGATCTCTAGGCCACCATCCAGTGCCCCTTGACCACAGTGTCAGCTAGCAAGAAGACAGAACAACACACTCGTGTTCAGGGTGGACGTCAAGGCCGAAAAGCACCAACTCCAACAAGCAGTAAAGGAGCTCTAGGACACTGATGTGGCCAAAGTCAACATCCTGACCAGACCTGATGGAGAAGAGAAGGCACAAGTGCAGCTGGCTCTTGATTATGAAGCTCTGGATGTTGCCAACAAAATTGGGATCATCTAAACTGTATCCAGCTTTCTAATTCTAAATATGGTTTTCATAAAAAAAAAAAACCCTAATAAGTATGTTACAAAGCACCTTACCCAAACCTTTCATGAGTGAAATCACCCCTTATTTTCAGAAAAGGCAAACTGAGCCAAGTCAGCAAACAGGATACAGGTTACGTGGCATTGGGAGAGAGTACAAACAGGCCCGCGGGTGTCAGGAGGAAAGGCAGTGCAAGCTTGGGCTGTGGAGACAGCTGCACAGCAGAATGTGAGACACATCCCTGGATCCGACACTTCAGCTGACTTTAAAGCACAGGAGAGCCTTTTGTCTGTAACACATCAGCCATAACCAGCTAGGTGTGCGACTGCAGCAGGTGTCTGACAGCGAGCCAAAGGCCACAAACACAGGCCCAAGCAGACAGCAGGAGGCCTCCAGGACAGCACCACACCCAGCCCGCTCGGCTGCTGGCCACAGGACCAGACAAGCACCCACCCACGACCAAGTCCCACCCCACATTCAGACAACTTCCAGCTGGCAGTGTTCGGTGCCCAGGGTGGGGCAGCCTGGCTGGGAGCCTGGGGTCCACTCTGCACCCTAGGTCCCAAGCAATCCCAGGTACAGTTTCCTTAACAAGCAACCCCAAGGGAATAGGCTGGCACAGTTAAAGCAAGAAGGAAACACATCCTAGCGCACCCAACAGAGCTGGAGGCCGCCAGCAGTCCCAGCAGAGCCCATGTGCAGAAGAAGCAGCAGCGGGGCCCACAATGGTCGGCTTTTTTTTAAAAAAAAAAAACATTTATTAATTTATTTGAAAGTCAGTTGTAGAGAAAGAGAGAGAGATCTTTCAATCGCCTGCTCACTTCTCAGATGGCTGTAATGGTTAACCTGGGCCAGGCCAATGCCAGGAGCTTCTTCCTTCTCTTGCTTTTCCTAGGTCATTAGCAGGGAGCTAGATCAGAAGTGGAGCAGCCGGAACTGCTCATCTGGGATGCCAGTGTTGTATGTGGCAGCTTTACCTACTAGGCCACAGCACTGGCACCTGGACTGCTTTTCCCAGCCAGATATGAGCTCTCTGCTGCACATGGAGCCTGGGTGCGTGTGAAGAGGGAAGGGACAGGAGCCCATCAAGGCATGCTGGCCGTCACCCTGACAAACCCAACACGTGCTGCCCAGAACCTGGCACTTTCATTCTGGGCGCAGGCGGGCACCCGAATCAGCACCAGCAAGCATGCTGCCCAAGCTAACAGAGCAGCGAGACACAGGCACCAGGGCCCCGTTGACTAATTACCCTGGATGTCCCATTTGCCAGCAAACACCACGATGGCAAGTGTACAGACAAGTACAGCAAGGACCACTGCTGCATCCACTTGGGTGGGACCCGCCAGGCAGAGCAACCATGGCCAGCACGTGACTTGGGCGGCGGCCCACCACCGAGGTGGTCGCAGCCTGCCTCAGACACACCTCTAGGAGATGGTGCTGGTGGCTGCCTCCAAGTCTTGCAGGCCAGGGAAGCCATTTTGTCTGCAGACAGCCGCTCCTATCTGCCAGGAGAGAGCTCACCCGACACCAGAGAGCAGCCTGGGCAGAGGTGGGAGGAAGGCGAACCAGCCCCATGGAGTTCACTCTGAGAAACACACACCAAAGACACAGGAGCTGTGGGAAAAAAACATGCACCACTACAGCTAGCTGAGGGCGCCTGGGACCCCTAGATCGTTTCCACTGCCTGCACTGGAAAACTCTTACAGTACAAACAACGCACCTCTTTTGACTCAAAGTTATACTACATTGCTATGTCTCAGGTCACCTGGCTGACGCTGGGGCCGATGAAGACTAACTTCACCCTGTGCTTGCGCTCCTCGGGCAGGTTCCGGGGACCCCTCTGCAGCCTGGAAGCTCAGCCTCAGCACAGTGTCCCAAAACAGCCACTGCCACAGCCTCAGTTCTTCTTCCCTAGTCTTCTAGAAAGTTCTCAAACACATCAGCAACACTCTGAGGTTGCTGCTATGATTGTCATCTTCCTCAAAAACGGAGAACTGCAGTGGAATCAGATTAAAATCAAAAGAACAAAACAAGAACCAACCCTCTTTGCCCCCCCTCAGCAGCATCAATGACAATAACTGAATCACACAGGGACAACCCCCCTTAGAAATGAGGCCCAGTGCTGAGGGTGCCCAGGGTCAACCAAGAGAAAAAGCCACCACATCAACAGGCGCTGACTGGGAAACGCGGAAGTGGAATTGTGTGGAAGCCTTAGCACTGCGCAGGGCTCTGATCCGTCCTGCTGTGGCCTCTGCCATCAGTCCCACGGATGCCAGCCAGTCACAGGCAACAGCGGACCACAGGGCCTGGCAACAGGTGAAGGGGGTTGGGCAGACATATTTTCTTTCAGGAAGTTATTCCTTAACGAGCAATCCTTTTAAGAAATGATAAAATCATCAGAAAGCGACTGGGAGGCAATCCTGAAAGATGCTTCAAGTCCTACCCGAGTGCTCAGTCACTACCCCACAGTCACCTGTCCTAACTGTGCCCAGGCGGAGGCAAAAGCACAGGTAAGGCTGAAGGGAACTCGGTCTGGACACACTCACTCTAGAACTCATAAAGTATTTTCACTTAGAGGAAACAGTAACATTCTCCTGGGAAAGCATCACAATGGTTAAAAGCTGCCGCCCTCTCTGAAACCTGAGCCCGAGTTCGACTCCCGGCAGGCACTCTGAATACCAGCTATTGCAAAACCGGACAACAAACTGGTCCTCAGGAATGAAGTCGGAAAACAGGTTTCTCTGGCCCAGGGTCACTGAGCTTCACCCTCACTTAGTGGGCAGCTGGTCGGCTGGAATGACCTGCTGTCCCCTCCTCACAGGCAGCTACCCAACAGCAAACGGATGTACTTTCATGGGCCCAGGAGGACAGAGCCCACCACTGCTCAGAAGAGCGTGCTCACAGGTGTACCTCCCCTTTAGAACAGAATCCACCACAGCAGAATGTTTCAAGCATGCAGAAAGTACAGCAAGTACCACTGCTGCATCCACCTGTCAGCTTGGTCAAATTCCAACATTTAAAACATCGTTTTCGGGCCCGGCGCAGTGGCGCAAGTGGTTAAAGGTCCTCGCCTTGCACACCCGGGATCCCATATGGGCGCCGGTTCTAATCCCGGCAGCCCCGCTTCCCTTCCAGCTCCCTGCCTGTGGCCTGGGAAAGCAATTGAGGACAGCCCAAAGCTTTGGGAACCTGCACCCGCGTGGGAGACCTGGAAGAAGCTCCTGGCTTCG